ATGGCATTTCCAGGTCTTTATTTATAAGGGTCTCTATTCTAGTTGCCGAAGCACTTAGCAGTAAGAGTCACAGTCTACCATTTGTTTTTTTAATTTAAAAATATTGTAAAACTGTGTGTGAACCAACACAGCAAAATGATAACCAGCAGTGAATCTAAGGATATGAGTGTCCTTGAACCTTTTTGGTGGGTTGGATATTTTTGTAAATAAAAACATTAGGGAACAAACAGAAATAACCCTTTGAAGGCAGGTAGACCTTCTGGACGCTCCATAGCCCTCCTGTGTGGACTGGGGCCTGTGTGTTGTCTCCCTCGGGGCTTAGAGATGAGAAGACAGATGGGACCAGTCACTTCCCAGGAAGATTAGGGCAGTGACAGAGGTGAGGGCTGGACCTGGGGAAACCCCAAGGAGAGGTATTTGCTCCTTGAGTCACTGAGGGAATCTCAAGGAGAAGTGTGTTTGCTGGAGTGAAGTGTGGGGGCAGCCCCATGGAAATGCTAAAGAACCGGGCTTTGTCCGGTGTAGGTAAATCCTGAGAGAAAATTCTGGCCTGACCCAGCCTTCTGCTACCTAGTGAGCCCAGTGGCCAGTGAAGGAGGAGAAAGCACAATGAGTTTGCCAAAGTGTGAGCTGAGGGGCCCAGATCCGACTCTCCCTTGGACACAGCCTGACCTAGAGGCCTTGGCTGGCTTCTTTCCCTCTGTTGGTGTCTGGATCCTCTTCTCTATAGAACAGGGAGTTGTTGCCATTGTTTCACCCAATGAAAAGGAAAGAAAGGAAAGAAAGCTGTCCTGGCAGTGCTGGGTGAATGCATTAGAGCTCTTAACTATGGCACTCTATGCAGTTGGTAATGTAAGGTAGCATTTGTCATTGTTTGTATTTCTGTTCTTGTGGTGAAGTTGGTATTCCTAGAAATTCACAGAAGATCCCTATGCAGGTGTCATGGTTAGGAGTCAGCCCCTGGGGTCAAATGGTTCTCAGTCCTTGAGTGGATGTACCATGTCCTACCCACATGCCCTTGTCTAGCTGGGTTGGGCTGACAACAACTTAGAGCTGCCCCTTCTCTCAAGAAATTGACCCCACTCAGTGGGAGCTAGTAACCACACACCCTTCACTCCCTCCACTTGGGGGCAGACCCTGGCCAATGGCTGATTGGAATGGGGTTGTAAAAGGATGGTATTCTTTCATGGCTGATCCAACTCTGTGGTGATAAGTGTAGGATCAAACTAAAGTGTGATTCCAGCCCAGACCCTCTGTCCTCAGTCTCCCTGCCCTCCCAGCCTGCTTCCCTCACTCCCCTTCTCTTGAAAATGCTCCCTCAGGAAAGCATTTAAAGAAGCTGCTCTGTCTCAGACCGTGCTTCTAGAACATCTATCTCAAGGAAAACACTTCCTAGCTGCATGTCATGCATTAGAAATTCTACTTGCTACAACAAATACATCATCAGATTAAATTTGTGTGCTTTAACGTAAGGATATTTCTTTCTCACTTGTAGCATGTCTACTTGGTGGAGCATTTGGCGGGAGGGAGGTGTCTTCTCCCCTACTCACTCTCAGGGACTGAGGCTGCTGGAGGTTGTGCCACAATCTGAGTCTGGCTCCAAGGTCACCCTTGAAGGCCATATACATGGGAGAAGTCACTCCTCAGGCTCAGAATTGACACCCATCATTTCTGCTCTTGTTCCATTGGCAGAAAATAGTCACATGGTCCACCTACAGGCAATGGTAACTGAGATGTGTAGTCTTTACCTGGGCAGTCATCACTTAGTAAGAGCTCTGCACCCTGAAGGGGGCAAAGATCTTTGATGGGTAGTTATCTCTGCCACACTCCATGACTTGAAGCAAGTTATTTTACCTCTCTGGACTTTAGTTTCTTTACATATGTAACTGGACAATTAATAAGATCCTCTCATAGTTGTGGGCATGAATCAATGAGTTGAAATATACACAGTGGTTGGACGAGGGCTTGGACAGAGTAAGGGCTCATAATATTACCTATTTTTTTTATCATTTGCAGAGAGTCCACTCTGGGTTACATAGAGATAATTCTCCATGCATGACGTGCAGATAATCATTACGCCTATATGACAGAGGAGAAGAAAATTCAGAGAAGGGAAGTGAAAATCCTGAGATTCCATAGTCAGGGGCAAACAGAATCAGCCCAGGTAGCCAACAGAATTTTACACCAAGAACTGTCAGACTTTTTGCTAAACAGCGCCACAGGCAGACTTTGCATTTGCCATTTGAAAGATTCAGGATCCTACAGGGAACTGGTCTGCATGGCAGTGGCAAATGTATCTCAGCCCTGGTTCAAAAAACCAACAGGCACAAAGTGGCACATAGGAGCCAGGCCCACAGATTGGCTTTCCCGTGGGAGGCCAGGCCTGTATTATATCAAGGCTGCCTGGAGGCTTGCTTTTGCTAAAACTACTTCACCCTGAGTTAAGGCAGAAAATGTTTAATGCATATCTTTAAGGTAACACCCTAAAGTCTGTGCTAAGCCACCTCAAAGATGGAGTGTAACCAGATCGATCACTTTTATCATTCCCTTGCATTTGCAACATTCTTTTCTTTGTTATCTGTAAGAAGTAAAACAAACTTGAGCATAATGAATGAGAACCTTCTTTGATGTAATGCTCCCAGAAAGCAATAAAAACCTGTCTAGGCAAGGGTCGGGCACTCTCTCACTCAGAGAGTGGACACGCTGTCCCTTTTCTCCGCAGGACTTCTGCAGTCTGTGTGGAGTTTGTGTTTGTCACACCCACAACACCACAGACACCACTGGCCAGAGTCCGCATCAGGATCCCAGGAAGGGTGCTGTAATGTCGACTTAGTCTACCTGGCTGAACCCCCACCATCCTTTCCCCTCCCATCTTCTATCACTCGCCCTTTAGCAGTGACACTCCAGCCCTGCTTTCTTTCTAACCCTCACAAAATCCAAGCTAGACCTCACCTCAGGGCCTTTGCAAATGTTCTCCCCTCTGCCTTGAATATTCTTCCCACCTGTCTTTCCATGGCAGGCTCTTTCTTTTTATTCTGCCCTCAGCTCAGTGTTCTCCTCCTCAGGGAGGCCCTTCCTGCTCACAGTTCAGTCACTTACTTTCACATCACCCAGGACCATCTAAGATTTTTTTGGGCTCACGTATTTGTTTAATGTCTGTCTCTTTTCTTAGGCTGTGAGCTCCACAAAAGCAGGGAGACCTACATTCTCATTGGCCTTCTTGTATCCCCAGCAACTGAAAGAGTGCCTGGCACAAAGTCCAGCCTTAGTAAATATTTGTTTACTAAACCAAGAAATTAATGGACAACCTGATAGCTTATGTGTCCCTTTGTCACCTTCTTTCCCCTGTTCTTGCAAGGATTGCTTCAGGCCATGCACAACTTCAGAGGGTACCATTCACACAGCAACAATGTGAGTTGGGGGGGAAGGGGACATTGTTTGAAAAGTGCACAATCTACACGAGTGTAGTGCCATCTTAACCTCCTCTTCATTCTTTCATTCATTCACTCAGTCTCTCACTCAATCAGTAAATATCTACTGAGCACCCATGATACGCCAGTTAGTGGTGCAGACTCAGTGGGAGATAGAATATAGTAATATGTCTGTGTGGCACATCTGAAAGTCGCAAATGAAATAAAAACAGAACATGTAAAAATGTAGAAAATATACATACCATTGCAAATTACACATTCACTTGTTTTTCCTTCTACTGTTGTTCTCACCCTTTCTTTTCTCCTTTTCTAGCCTCTGCATTCACTGACAAATGCTCTGTATCTTTTCCTGTCTCCCTCCTACCCAGTGGGTTAGAACTGATTAGCACACGCCAGCGAAGTCTATTGTTAATTATTTAGGGTTTGGCAAGGTCATTGTTAATCTGTTGGTGGCTTCAAAATCAGGGTTTGTTGATGCTGTTTTTCTGAAAAGCTGCTTTTCCAGCACATCACTGTTCCCATCTGTTTCTAGTGGAGAAACTTTGCTTTGTCAAGGAATATCCTAGTTCTTCCCAGGCTATTCCTCTCTGTGTGATACCTCAGCTCCCTTCTGGACTACAGGAACCACAATCTCTAAGCCTGTGTTGTGCTGGTAGGGAGAGAACAGAAGGAGAATAAGAATCAGAATCAGAGCCCTGGCTGGTGTAGCTCAGTGGATTGAGCGCGGGCCTGCGAACCAGACAATCGCGGTTCAATTCCCAGTCAGGGCACATACTGGGGTTGCAGGCAGGTTCCCTGCAGGCCAGTTCCCAGCAGGGGACACATGAAAGGCAACCATACATTGATGTTTCTCTCCCTCTCTCCTTCCCTTCCCCTCTAAAGATAAAATAAATAAAATCATAAATAAAATCTGTAAAGAATCAGAATCAGGAGGAGAATAAAAGCACGAACAAGATCATAAAAAGGGGGAATATAAAGAATAGCCATAATAGAAGAAATGAGAAAGAAAAGAGAGGTATTTATCTGTGAGAGGCAGAGGTTAGGCTAGAAAAGCCATAGGGACCAACCAAGACCCACCACTCATGTCCTCACAGGCAGTTGGGTCATTTCCCCCACCCAGGGCCAGAAGGTGGCCTGGTTGCCTGGAGAAATGAAGAAACTGCCTTCACAAACTACGCTGGAACAAGGTCGGGGTGGGGACCTGCACAACTGGGCTCAGGAGGAAAAAGGGCTGGTGATCTTCACCAATGGGGGCTGGGGGTCCCTCAGTTTTTAAGTGTTCAGGGGTCTGGGTTCTGGACTCTTGGGTCTGAGTGAGGAGGAAGATTGGACTTCTGCACCTGAGAGAGAAGAGGGCTGGGAGGCTGGACTCACGGGACATAAGGAAGAGGAAGGACTCAGGTTTCTTGGCCTTTCAGCTGGTGAGACTCAGAGGATAGGTCCAGGCCAACCTTGGCAAGGTCATCCACTCCGCACCCTTTCCTGGCTGCCTTGGGCAAAGAGAGGTATAAAAGAGCTCAGTTTCCTGGGAGAAAGAGCAGTAGCGGGAGAGTTGTAGCAGCCTTGACCATGAGCCCTACTCTGCTGCCAGCCCTCCTGGGACTCACCCTCATGCTGCCCCGTGAGTGAAGACTCCAACTTGGGAGGGGATTTTCTGGGAGGATGAGCTAAGATGGATTTGCTGTTCTCATCTCAGGAGCCCAGGCCCTGACCTGTCAGTCAGGAACTCTGCTGTCTGTGAAGAATGTGACAGAACTGCCCTTTCAGTGGACAGCAGATAAGAAGATCTGCAGCGAGGGCTGGGGTTGCCAAGACACGCTGATGCTCCTTGAGAATGGTGAGATGGACCCCATACACCCCAGGCATGACCACCACTCTCACATGTGCAGGGATCTCCCTCCTCCTCCTGACCAGTCCTACCTGTGTTCTGTGTGGAGACTCAGGAGACCCCCTCCCTCATACCAGCAGCTGTCCCCTCCTTCAAAGGAGGAAGACTTGGGAACCCAGGTACCTCCTCTCTAGCCTCTCACCCCAGCTACAGACCCTCCATCTAGGAACCCAGAATCCCGATCCTCACCCAGCTTGACCCCTCTGTCATTCAGGACCTCAAGTGCTCCTAGTGCTCACCAAGGGCTGTACCCAGGAGAAGGATCAAGAGGCCTGTATCACCCAGCACCGGGCAGGCCCTGGCCTCTCCATTGTCTCCTACACCCGTGTGTGTCGCCATGAGGACCTCTGCAATGACCTCTCTACCACCGGCCCTCTCTGGTCCTCACCCCCTCCTGCAGGTGAGACAAAGAGGGAGAGGAGAGAAGAGAGGGTATAGGGAGGAGGGAAGCACAGAGGGACTGTTCGCTTAGACCCCTCCTGGCCACCCAGCCTGTCCACACTCCCCAGGACTCCCTCCCCTGGCACAGCTTCCTCTTGCAGTCCTGGGGCAGCAAACCAGACTGCACCTCAGACTCTGGCGACAGCCTGAACCTGGGCCGTGCTCCCTTTTCTATGCTGTTGGGCATGGTGCACTCATGTTTCATTTAGGGCTTTGGTATTTCCTCTTCTGAAGTTAACTTGGCCATAGCTTTTCACTAATTTTGTGTGTATCCTAAATGGGGTTTGGGGTGATGATTTGCCTTCTCTTTCTTTCAGGCATCCTGTTGGCTGGGACTATGTAGTGGATGTGTGGGTGAACTCTGCCCTGGTTCCTCCCAGGGCACCCCTCTTGTATCAGTCCCTGGTGCCCCTCCCAGATCTCATGCCACCTCTTGGTCTCTCCCCAACCACATGACACCAATATCCTGCACCCCAGGTCAACATGAGAGAGACCTGAGCAGGGCAAGTCTGGGAAGACTGAGGAGGTTAATTCTGGGGTCAGCAAATAGGATTGGGTAAAAGGCACCAGATACAAACGCAGAGGCAGCTCAGTCTTCCCTTCTGCCCTCTCACCTCCCAGTCCCAGGGTCCGTGCGGTGCCCAGTCTGCTTGTCTACAGAAGCTTGTGAATCTGCAACAGAGGTGACGTGCCCCATTGGTCAGTCACACTGCTACAATGGGATCCTCCAGTTCCAGGGAGGTGAGCTGGGACATGGGGGTCCCTGCAGGCATTGAAGTCAGGGAGGGTAGCTGGGACCTGGGACTTGGAGGAGGGTGGGCCTGGCTTCTTAGGGTTGGATGGTCCCAGTGGTGGCACCTCACCCTCTTACTCTGCCTGGGCCCTTTTTACAGGGGGAATCAGCAGCACACTGAGAGTCCAGGGATGCATGTCCCAAGCAGCCTGCAACCTGCTTAATGAGACTCGGGAGATCGGGTCCTTGTCTGTGAGTGAAAAATGTGGTACTGATGGTGAGTTCCATGCCCTGAAAACAATTCTGTGACCAGCCCTGAAGCCTTAGGATACAATGACCCTTGTGAAAGTCCTACATCCTGCACATCCCACCAACACTAGCACCCACAAGTAATGAAGAAGTTTATTCCTCACTCAGACAGTGTAATGTGAGGGATTGTTGTGGTAGGTGCTTTGAGATAAAGGTACTCATAGGAGGCTTCCACCTGAAGGGGAGAGGATGCGCGGTCCAAGGGACCAATATAGGACAGGACCTCGCTGGTGTGTATTTTAAGAGACACCAGGACTGGTCAACTAAGTGAGGGTAGACTGTCCATGTGGGAGGGAACACAGAGAAAGGTCAAGTGGAATGCAGGGCTGGCTGCTTTGAATTCTGCTTCATCCATTGGATGTAGAAGGGAGTGCAAAGTGCCTGGTTTTCATGCTGGGAGTGACTCATTACCTTTAGTTCTATGCCCCCACACTCTTGACCTTGGGAAGCCTTGCATCTCTCACCTCTTCTCAACCAGCCTACCTCCCCCATCCTCATCTATCCCCCACCCATGGTACCAGAGCACCCCAGCAGTGGTGCTGTAGAGGAAGGAAGGTCAGAGAAAACTGAGGGTGCTTCAGCTGTTTTAGGGACAGCATAAGCCAAGCAGGGACATTGAAAGTGTCCCCACTCACCCACACAAACACAGCCCAGTCATGCGGGAAGACTGACAATGGCCTGGAGTGTCTGAGGAGAAGCACAGGAGTCAGGGAGGGGAGCGGGGACTTAGCAGAGTGGGAAGAGAACCTTCTTTGTCCAAACCTCAGTTTCCTCATCTGCCCATGGCATCCAGCCCTTAAAGCTTCAAGAAGAACATTGAGTGGATTCAGCAAACAGTCCTCAGTGCTTGGATCCCTCTGGATAGACTGGCAGTGTTGAGCACAAGGTTTGGAGGTCACCAACAACAATGTTTATAGCCTGAGGCAGCACCAGGGCTAGCACAGGGTGAAAAGTCAGTTTGTGTAGGATTCCAAGGTCTCCTGTGGGGACTGCAGAGGACTCAGACCCTGTCCCTGTCCTAAAGGGCATCTAGGACAAGGAGATAAGACATCACAAATGCAGATGGTCACAGAGCTGTGGTGAAGGGGCCCTGGGGAGCTGTGAGCAGGGAAATAGTAATGTCCTGGGGGGTGGGTGTCAGGAAGGTCTTCACAGAGAAGGTGACCTGTGAGCTGTGCCTCAAAGATTAGCTGCAGTTTATTAGTAGAAGAGGAAGAAGACATGAACAAGCAAAGGAAACAGCATGTGTATAGGCCTCGAGATGGGAATGAGCCTGCTGTTTTCAGAAAGGGCCCCTCAGCTCAGTCTGAGAGGTCTCATCAAGAGGATGGGTGCAACTGGGACTGGGAGGTGATTACCAGTTGTTCAGGTAGACAAGATGTGTGTGGACAACCTCAGAAGAGGTAATCCAAGCAGAAGGATCAGTGGTGCAAGGCCAGGGAGGCCAGACCTGATCTGGAGCACGTCTTGGGAATGGATATTGGTGCTGGTGTGGGGAGGGAGGGTGGCGCAAGGGTTCACATTTCTCCTGGGCCAAGGGAAAGATGGAAAGGTATTGGCCACATAAGAACAGTCTGAGTCCCTCTTTTTTATTAATTCTTGTCAGTTGTCTGGCCCTCATCTCTGAGACTAGGAAACATTCTTAATCCACAGGGCATTCCTGAAACAAATCAAACATAATCCATGCAACCACACAGATACACACACAATACACACTACAGACATAACCAGACTCACAATGCTACATGGACACGACACATCACATACTACACTCATGCCTTTTTATACCTTATAACATATACCACAGACCTCATATACCACATACCACACACAACACACAGATCACACAACACATCACATGCCACATACACCACACATAAACTAAACACAGACACAAAAAACTGATACCATGCTGCACCTGGGCAAAAAACACAACATTCATCATACCCACATACCACACATACTATACAAACCATGAAAACACACTATATACATGTCACACACCTCATACACTCCCCCACATACCATATACAGACACTCCACAAGCCACACACATGCCACATAAAACACAGCTACAATGTCACAAATGAATATTCCTAATGCATAAACTTGTTCTGTTGGCTTTCAATATTGGAGTTAGATCTTAGGGGATGTGTCTGCCCTCCATGGTTCAGTTCACTTCAGGAGTTTAACAAACATTTATTGAGCAACAGTAAGACCAGGCATCCGAAGTTGAGGTAAAAACAAGACATCATGGAGGAAAAAGAGCATTCCAGGGTGACAGACAGCTCCCAGGAAGACCTGGGGCCAGGGGATGGCTGGGTGTAAGAGCACAGGTTGCCCAAAACAGGCCATGGCAGGAGCCCATTGAAGAACAAAGAGCTGGAACATGAATGGCCTTGGCTGCTGCCCACCCTTAGGCACTGGGCTATAGTGCTAGTAAGGGCGGTGGGTCTGCACAGTCAGGAGGAGAACAGCAGCGAAGAGCTTAGGTCTCAATCAGGGAGATGTGGGTTCCTGTCTGGGTTGTGCCACTGAACCAGCTTTGGAGGATCACCACCTCTGTGAGCCTCTTTCACCAAACTCAAGGAGGAGTGGGTGATTCCAGACAGTCAAGAGCAGAGGGGCACATACCTGGGGTGGGTGGGGGCCTGCTGAGGGTTCAAAAAAGAGCTCAGAGGCCAGCGTAACTTCAGAAGTGTGTTCAAAAGAGAGCAGATCAGGACATGTGGATGGAGAGGCAGGGCCTCTGGGGCCAAAGAGAAAATTTTATTATGAGTGTGGTGGGAAACTATTCAAATCTTCTGAGCAGAGGAGTGATATGAATCAACCAACCTTTTATGGAGATTCTACTGGCTTCTGAGTAAGATATAGAGTAAGTGGGAGGTGGGTGTGGGGTAGAGACCCCCAGGGAAACTCAGAAAGAAGCAGGTGTGAGCCAATAGGGTCTCGAACACTGGTGGAAGCAGCTGAGGTGGTGAGAAATGGCCAGGATCTGGAGTCATTCTGTAGCTCAAGCCAACAGGATATCCTGATGGGTGCAACATGGGGTGTAAGACATAGAGATTGTTAAGAGTGACAGCAATGTTCTCAACTTGAGCGACTGCAAGACAGGAGATGCTGTTGACTAGCATGTGGAGAGTGGGGGAGGGGCGAACGGGAGCCAAGCTGAGAGGAGGGCAGCAGGAGCCATGATGTTGTGGTCTGTGAGGTGAGGGAATGAGTGCTCCTGCTTCATGAGGCTGCTGTGAAGGTTGCACATGTTGGTGGATGCTGTGTCATCAGTGCAGGAGTTCCTGCATCACATGACACATCCCTGCTGGTGATACAATGGCTGTAAGTGAAGGTCTAGGCTACTGGGTTTCACACTGGACCCCTGAGGACCTCAGAGTCCAAGGTAGCCAAGCAGAGTTATCAAACCCTGTCTTCTCCATCACTAGCTCAGGGAGCCCAGCTTGGCTAATTATTAGTGATAGGACATGGGGAAGTCTACTTCACAACTCCTCTGCCTCTGTTTTTTATCTTGAAAATGGGGAGCAGTAAATAACTTCACCTACTCTGGTGGTCACTGTGAGAAAATGAGGTAACCTGGATGAGAGAGCGCCTTGGGAACTTTAAAGGGGCTACTCCCCAGAAAGCAGTCTCCACAGCTGGGCACATAGTAAATGCTCAGTACGCACACTAAGCATTGGAGGAACTTTGGGACATAGGGTTTCTCAGTTAAAAGAACATAAGGTGTCAGTCTACACTCCTTGTTATCCAGATGAGGATCTTGAACCCCAGCAAGGGAAGCAGAGATGGCTCAGGTTAAAAAAGATCCATCTTTCTCTGCCACACCCCAGGGGAGGATCAGACTTCAGGGGTGTTGAGCAAGGTCCCTGCAGATGCTGGAGCAGAAGTGGTGGTGTAAGGAATAGGGGCGGGCACAAACATCACAGGTCTCTTCCCCACGTGAGATCAAGTGACTGTGTCCAGGTTACCTGAGAGTGACTGAAGAATGTGATCACCTTCCCAAACACGGGATCTGGAGGGGGAGACATGGCTTGTTCCTGGGCTGACACAAATGCTGGTGATTTCTTCTTTCCAGCTTCTCGGACCTGTCAACAGGGGATCACGCATCAGATTAAACCAAATCTGGCTAAGGAACCCATGGAATGGAATGCAATTACAAATGTGACATGTGATTTGGAGGAGGTGTGTCAGGAGACTCTTCTGCTCATAGATGTAGGTGCGTGGACTGTGTACCAGGGTGGGACCATGGCATGGCATCCTGAGTCTCCCATCCTGGATTCTGTTCCCTGAACTTCCTACCTACTTCAAATGCCTGGAATTCTACACCTCACTCTTTCTCTTTCTGCACCTTGCTGTCCCCTTCTGATAACTAGGTGCTAAATGTTACTACCTACTGTGCTGGGACGTCATGAGGATATATCTGATGGTCCATGCAGGTCTGAGAACAGAGCTGGTACACAGTAACTTCAGTGACTTTAAGCCTTGCTAAGCATGTGTTTTCTGCCAGGCTCTGTAGATCCTATTGGGTCTGCCTTCCTGCAGCTCTATGCACCAGTGGGGAAGCAGAAAACCCAGAAGAGAAAGGAGACAGGGAGAGTAGGTGAAGACTGGAATTTGGAAAAAGGGAAATCAGGGAAGGCTCTACTGAGGTGGTATCTGAACAAGAACTGAGAGGGGACAGAGCTGAGGGGAGGACCCAGGCTTAGGCTCCAGTCTTGGCCCTGCCTGCAATCACCCATGCTCTTGTACTCAGGGAATCTACATTCACCATCTGCCTGCTAAGCATCCAGGAATCCCTGGCTCCTGTCTCCCTCAGAGCCTCCCCTAACCTCACCCACCTGTCACTCTCCCCCCCACAGGACCCACATCACTCATTGTGGGGAGCAAAGGCTGCATCAAGACTGAGACACCGAATTACCAGACTGTCTCCATCTACTCAGGGCCCCCTGGAATGTTCATTGCCTCCTATGCCCATTTCTGCTCTTCCAACGGGTGCAACAGTGCCAGCAGCACCAGTGTCCTGCTGAACTCCCTCCCTCCTCCAGGTAGGGGAGCCAGGGGAAGGGGGAGAAAAGGGGCATGAGGAGATGGTACCCCAGAGACAAGAATCTTTGGGTTCAAGGAGGGTGCCTGCAGCTTGGAGAACTGTGCACCCCAATGTTCCCTTTGCTCCCCAGCTGCCCCTGTCCCAGGAGACCTGCAGTGTCCCACCTGTGTGCTGCTTAGTGGAGTCTGTACAGACTCTGAAAATGTCATGTGCCCTAAAGGTACCACTGATTGTTATAACGGTTACATCGGTCTGGAAGGAGGTGAGTGCTGAAGGCCAGGTCCCAAGGATGAAGGTACTTATCACTGCTGCTATAGAGGGAGGGTGTTTGAGACCCTGGCTCTTGGGCTTCAGAGTAAGGGTGTTGAGTACCCAAAGTTTTAGATCTGAAGGTGGGGAGGCTGAAGAGCCTGATCTGCTGGTCTGAGGGGGGAAGTGTTAGGGTCTGGGACTCCCGGGTCTTAGGAATTTAAGTGTGCACTACTTTAAGACCCTTCTGACTCTGTCTTCACTCTCTAGGTGGGCTGTCCTCTGCGCTCAGCATTCAGGGCTGCATGGCCCAATCTTCCAACTCATTGCTAAACCACACCAACATGATTGGACCATTCCACACAGTTGAGTTCCCTCAGGCTGTCAATAAAGATCGCCAAAGTGGAGCTGCTCCTGCCCCCTGCCTGGCTTGGGTGGTGGGGCTGGGGCTGTCTCTAGCTCTTTGTTGTGGGATGACTTCCATGTTCACTCTATTTCCCTGTGATTCTTAGTCCCTGCTGACCCCTAAACCAAATCCTCCCTGTGACCTCACAACCAAATGCCGGGTTATTTTACCATCTTCTCCATGAGTTCTCATCCACACACACAACCACACATTTTGTGACCTGGTAGCAACATATGGAAGGGCCTGGGAGCAGCTGAACTGGCCCTGTGGGAGCTGGACACTCCAACAGTGGCCACATGTGTCTGATGAATAAAGGCATTGTCTTTTCTCCCAGTGTGGGGCTTCTCTATGGGAGGGGAGGGCAGGGCTCACAGAGATCTGGGGTGGGGAGGAGACAAATCCGGAGAGAGATTCACCATGTCAGGCTCATCCTTCACTGGTCTGGTGCACGTCTCCATCCCAGCTGGGGAGGTAGCAGAGCCTTCGGGGTTCTGCAGCTGCAGGTCATCACCATGACCTGGGAGGTGAAGGTGCACTTTGACCTATGAGGCTTCTACTTAGGAGGCAGGTCCCCTGCCTAATCCCACCTGAATCACTCGACCTATGGGCTTGTATGAAGTGGGAAAACAAGAGGGTGTGCACAGTTTCCTGAGGCTGATGTCACAGGTCCTGTTACCATCCTAGGTGAGATTTTCAGGCATCTCCTTTTGAAGGGCTCCACACACCAATATACTCAGACTCATTTTCTCTGGGCTCCAGCATTGAGGCAGCAGCTTGAAGGATACCAGTGGCATACAGGGAGGAACTGAAATGTCTGGCATCAGGGTGAGAGGTAGGGGACACCTTCCTCCCTGACAGAACTGCAGGCAGTGGCCATTGTTCCTTTTCTGAGCCCTCTCCCACACAGAGACACAGAGCAATGGCACCATATCTGAGGCTCCATCAGTCTGGCTCACACAGTTTGCCCTGTCCTGGTGATTAACTAAGGCTTCACCCCATACAACTTAGGGGACCACACAAGCTGATAACAGTAGCTTTTTCATATGAAGGGCTCCACTAGGTACAGGCTTCAGAGCTTCCTAAATCCACTCAGACAAGCAATAGCTGAACCCAGTCCCTGTACTTCTTGCAGAGTAGCCACAGGTCTGTCACTACAAGCAGCCATCTGCAGATTGCTTTATAGCTTATGCTAGGTGGCCCCAGACAGAACACAGGTGGTAGGTGACCTTGGCCTCCACTGCTCAAGGAACCCCAGAGCCTGTGCACCCGGCAGACATTTACAAACCATGTTGGAGCACCACAACCTCTACATATTGTTGAGGGGGGTGATTGGTAGCCACTGTAAAACCAGTTCTACCAACTGGTTGAATTGGGTAAATTCCTCCCATTGACCTGCCGACAACAATCAAGACTCAACTACAAGGGGAGGTTGAATTCAGCATACACGTGGGCTCATCTCAAGTACCCAGGCTGAGTGGTAGGGGAGGCTGTGCCACTGGACCCTACAGGACACCTACTACCTTAGGCCACAAGACCAAGACAGGGAGTCAAAGTAGCTCTACCCAATCCATAGAAAAAGACACAGAGTGGCTGCCAAAATGAGTAGACAAAGAAACATGGACCAAACAAAAGAACAGCTCAAAACTCCAGAAGAAGAACTAAACAAAATGGAGATGAGCAATTTATCATATGCAGAGTTCAAAACGCTGATGATAAGGAGGCTCAAGGAATTCACTGGGTAGTCAACAGCCCAAAAATGATCCAATCAGAATGAAGGATACACTAGTTTAAATAAAAAACAATTTACAGGGAATCAACAGTGGAGTGGATAAGGTCGAGAATCAAATCAATGACTCAGAACATAAGGAAGCAAAAGGCATCCAATATGAACAGCAAGAAGAAAACAGAATAAAGAGACTTCCACCAAGATGGAGGTGTAGGTGGAAGCACTGTACCTTCTCGCACAACCAAATTTAAAAACAACAAAGTTTTAGCAACAAAAACGCAGCCAAACCACAGAAAATTGAACTACATGGAAGTCTGACAACAATGAACCCTTCAGTCAAACTGATAAACCGGTGAAGGAGCAAGCAGTGAGAAGGACCGCTCAGACCCCAGCAGCAGGAAGCGGCAGAGGGAACCGCCAGTGTCCCTCTCTGACCCTGCCCCCACATATAGCATCATAAACCAGCTACCTAGGTGGCCCCACCCTGGTGAGCAACTAAGGCTCTGCTCCTCATATGTAACAGGCACGAACAGATCAAAACATGGCTCAAGAACAACTCAGAGCCCCAGAGCCGATAAATCTAAGCAATGAAGAAATAGCCAAACTTTCAGATGCACAGTACAAAACACTGGTGATCAGGATGCTCACAGAACTGGTTGATTTTAGTCACAAATTAGAGGAACATATGAAGGCTAAACTAATTGAAATGAAGGGAAATGCACAGGAAACCAATAGTAATGGAAAGGGAACTGGGACTCAAATCAAAGGAGTGGACCACAAAGAGGAAAAAAAATGACCAAACAGAAAAGAATGAAGAAACAAGAATTCAAAAAAATGAGGAGAGGCTTAGGAACCTTCAGGACATCTTTAAACATTCCAACACCTGAATTATAGGGGTACCAGAAGGGGAAGAGGAACAGCCATAAGTGGAAAACTTATTTGAACAAATAATAAAAGAGAATTTTCCCAATCTGGCAAAGGAAATAGACTTCCAGGAAATCCAGGAAGCTCAGAGAGTCCCAAAGAAGTTGGACCCAAGAAGAAACACACCAAGGCACATCATTACATTAGCCAAGATTAAAATGAAGGAGAGAATCCTAGAAGCAGCAAGAGATAAGGAGACAGTCACCTACAAAGGAGTTTCCATCAGACTGTCAGCTGATTTCTCAAGAGACCTTACAGGCAAGAAGGGGCTGGAAAGAGGTATTCCAAGTCATGAAATCCAAAAACCTACATCCAAGATTTGCTATCCAGCAAAGCTTTCATTTAGAATGGGAGAGCAGATAAAGTGCTTCTCAAATAAGATCAAATACAAGGAGTACATCATCACCAAGCCCTTATTATATAAAATGTTAAAGGAACTTATCTAAGAAAAAGAGGATAAAAAGTATGAACAGAGAAAGGACAGCAAACTCACAGTTATTAAGAACGACACCTAAAACAAAAGCAAACTAAGAGGACAGCTAGATCAGGAGCTGAACCATAGAAATGAAAATCACATGGAGGGTTAGCAACAGGGGAGTGAGAGAAGGAGAAGGGAGGAGAAGGTACAGAAAATAAGTAGCATAGATGGTAGGTAGAAAATAGATGGGGGGAGGGCAAGAATAGTATGGGAAATATAGAATCTAAAGAACTTGAGACACGTGGTCATAAACTAAAGGGGGGATGGTGGGGGAGGGGTGTGCAGGGTGGAGGGGAATGAAGGGGGGAATAGAACAACTGTAATGGCATAATTACTAAAATATATTTTAAAAAGAAAACAGAATAAAAACGTTAAGATAGTGTAAGGGGCCTCTGGGATAACTTCAAGCATACCAACATTCACATCAGAGGGGTGCCAGGAGGAAAAGAGAAAGAGCAAGAAATTGAAAACCTATTTGAAAAAATAATGAAAGAAAACTTCCCTAATTTTGTGAAGAAAATCGTCATACAAGTCCAGGAAGCACAGAGTTTCAAACAAGATGGATCCAAATGGGACCACACCAAGACACCCCATCAGTAAAATACTAAAGGTTAAAAGTACAGAGAAACTCTTAAAAGCAACAAGAGAAAAGCAGATAGTTTCCTACAAAGGATTTTCCATAAGACTGTCAGCTGATTTCTCAAAAGAAACTTTGCAGGCTGCAAGGGATTGGCAAGTATTCAAAGTGAAGAAAAGCAGGGACCTACAACCTAGATTACACTATCCAGCAAAGCTATCATATCTGCCCCTAGAATCGAAGGGCAGGTAAAAATGCTTCCCAGACAAAGTAAAGCTGAAGGAGTTCATCATCACCAAACTATTATTATATGAAATGTTAAAGAGAGTTATTTAAGAAAACCAAGAAGACCACAACCATGAATGTTGACATGGCAATAAATACATAACTATCAGTAATTGAATCTAAAAAGTAAACTAAGCAAATAGAATCATAGATATGGAGAATATTTGGTTGATTGCTGGTTGGGAGGGGGTTTGGGGGACTATGGAAAAAGGATAAGGGATTAAGAAGTACAAATTGGTAGTCACAGAATAGGTCAAGGGGTGTTAAGAACAGTAGAGGTAATGGAGATTCCAAAGTACTTACATTCATGACCCATGGATATGAACAAAGCAGGGGGATTGCCAGAGGGAGCGGAGATGATAGGTGTAGGGGGTCAAAAGGGCAACATTGGGACAACGATAATAGCATAATTAATAAAATAGAATAAAAAAGAAAATTGGAAAATTCGTCACTACCAAACCCAATGAGCAATGACAGGGATTGAATCCTTATGGGCACTTTATTCAGATGGCCGGTGATCTGAGATGGTGAGTTCATACTCTAACAGATCATCTTGTCTTCTCTTTCCAGGCCAGGCTTTTTATTAGTTGGGGGTGGGGGAATAAATAAGGTGAGGTAAGGGCTTTGGGATTCAGAAGCTGCAACATTCTTGTCCTGGGCAGTTAGCTGTTCCCAGGGGCAGTGGTCATCTGCTTTCCCTGGAACACAAAGGTCTGGATGCCTCCACTTGTCCCCAGACAGTAATCTTTAGCAAGAGGTCAGCTGTTTTCCCAGGGGCCAGGATGGGCCTCATCTGTAGTTTCTGAAACAAAAGCTTTAACATACACATTACTTGCTAGACGTATAACTTTTTACCTTAAGCTAAAATTTTCCAAGTCTTGAGCCCCCCATCCGTAGGGGTCTGTGTTGCTTTAGAATCTCAGGAAGAAAAATACCCTGACTGTGGTGAATTGGATTAAAGTCGTGGTTTGTTTGCACTGATAGGGTCCCTGGGGATTAAATTTTCTCCTGTGCCTTCTGTAACAGGGACATTCTGTTACAAAACCTTCAGCAATCTGTCAGTGACAGGAAATCAGCATTGAGACAATATTACAATCTAACCCAAAAACTCTCTTCCAATTTTGTCAATTTTTCAAATAATATCTATATAGCCAATGAAAAAAAAACCAACCCTCAGACAGGGAGGGAAAAGAGAAGGAGGGAATTCCCTTCTCCCGCTTCCCTCACTCTCCCAGGAGGGTCTGCTGAATTTAGGTGCCAGGTGTTTGGATCTCAGTCAGTTTCATTTCGTTTTGTTTTCATGACATTGACATTTTGAAAGAACTTCCAG